ACACATGTTTTAACTACAAAAAGGCAACTGAATATTTCCAACATGATTGTACTGGAAAAACCATGAACACCCATATATATGGACTTTCTTTTTAAAACGTTAATCTTTTATTCAGCAAAAATGCACAGAATTGATCAAAAGTGACAGAAAAGACATTTATAATAGATTGCTATTTCAAACAAACTCTGTTCTTTTAAACTTTCTATTCATCAAACAATCCTGAAAAATAAAATCACAGTTTCCACAAAAATATTAAGCAGCACAACAACTAATTTGAGCATTGATAAACTACAACAAATATATTACAAATATTAAAATAAAAAAACAGTTATTTTAAATTGTAATAATATTACCGTTTTTTTTTCTATATTTTTTGATCAAACCTTTGAAGCCTTGATGAGCATAAGAGACTTCTTTTAAAAACATTTAAAAAAATCTTACCAACCCCAAACTTTTCAATGGTTATAAATCACAAAAACAAAAGTCCCATCATTGAATCTTCAGTACCTACTGTATAATCCATTATTTGAAATCTGTTGATGTTCACCTTGTACACTAGGGTTGGTGTGACCTGATGTACAGACAATAGAGCAGAACTGATGAATACTGCACAAAGACAGATGTGTGTCTGGAGCATTTTTCTGCTCTACCCTACAATCTCTCTGTCTCAATGACAGCCAAGGACATTCAGTCTTGACTTTCCCAATTACCAGCAGTAAAGTCTCTTCACTACAGATTCAGCTTAGTCCAAACAAAGAGTCACCTTCCTTTACAGTAATATAAAATGACAAGACATTGTGTACAGACACTGATAGGCATAAAGCTGAGACTTCAACACCATAAGAATAGAAAATAAAAAATTTACTTTGTATTCCTTAGAAGTCGACAACAAAAGAGTTTAATAATATCTCTAGTAAAATGAGCTCACAAGGGACAACCACCTCAACACATGCTCTTCTAGTGCTCTCTCTCTCTGTGGTTATCTCAGTGTAATCAATGTGACAGACTCATTAGAGCTCTGACTCAACTATCATTCAGCAGCAGTCACTCAGAAGAAACATCTCCGAGTTCAAACTCCAATCACGAGTGATCTGTACCGAACACAATAGGCTACATACACGTACTAGGGATGTGCGCGACGACTAATTTGACTGACGTTTAAACTAAAGTTTTGTATCCGACTAGTCGATTAGTCTAAAAGCAAGAAACCCCCAAAAGATGGTAAAAAAAAAAAAAACTCTGTGCGTGCGTGTAGCATATATAATAGCCTATATTTGAAATACTTAATCTGTGACTATGAATCACACAGTCAAATCTCTCAATGAATTCCGCTTGCCGCACACTTGCCTCGCGTTATCATCATTTCATTTTAGGTGGTCGTTAAAAAGAAAAAAAAGAAGAGTATACAACTCAACGTCGGCCAAAGCATAGCTTATTTATTAAAATCAGCTGGGGAAATGCAGAACAATGGAAAATCAATCAATAGCCTGACAGAATTCTTAATCTTCATATAACATTAGCCAACATATTAAAGCACAAGTCAAAAACAATAGGAAGGTTTATCAAGAAATAGCATTAAAATGGTTTTTAATAGCCTACTTCATGTAGGCTATATCGTCTAAAAACAAAATGCAACAATTCCCATTTTACTTACTCAGACCATGCGTTATTTGTTCAGTGAAATTATCAACGTGGTATGGTGAAAGACGGGACCTGAGGCGATTAACAATAAAATTCCTGCACTTGAAAAAACGCGCTCGGCAGGAGCTGAAGTTGCGAGAAGGGTCTGGCTGCAGCCTCGCACTTGCACTCTCAGACTTGCACTCTCAGACACTTGCGCTTCCGCTAGCGACGTCACTTGCAGGCTTTATTTTTTATTTTGTTCTATTTTTTATTACTTTTTGTTTGAATCTCTCAACATTTTACAACAGTAGCCAGGTGGTGAAGACAAGAAAAAAGAAACTAAATTACAATGTCACTTGCAATCGCCACTTGCACTCTCCGCTACCTGCGACATCACTTGCAATCGACACAAATCGTGCATGTTGCCAATGGAGACAAGACGCTGTGGTGATTA